TGTAAATGGTATTGCTTTCTTGGTTTCCTTCTCTGAGTTCTCTTTGTTACTGTAGAGAAATAGACTACATACATCTTGTCATACAACTTGTACCAGGGAAAAACAATAAGAAAATAAAACAAAAAATTACTGTGAATAACTAAAGAGGGCAATGTTTTATTGTAAAGTTGTTGCCCTGCCCCCAAAGGCTAAGGAGAATATAAGAACTGGATTAGAAAATCAGCATCTTGAAACTTGATTCTTGTGCCGTGTATATAATTTACTTAGGAAAATAGAGATTTAAAAACTAGAGAAAATAGAGAGTCTTCTGAGTGCTGTTAGCAGGATGTTGGGGCTCTGGCATTTTCTTTCTGTAATCAGACTTCATTTATTTTAGTTTAAATCCTTGTTTTCTGTTAAGTTAAAGTATAATATAGAAATGATTGAAGGCATTTGTTTCTGAAGCATCATGGTAGTAGACCCTACAGAGCAAGATTGCTAAGGGAACTATTATTTACCAAGAAGATAGAGTATTGATTGGAATAGGAACAGAGTACTGAAAGTGGTTACTCTCAGAAAAGAAGCTGGATTCCAGATCAGTAAGCTTGAGGCTGGACCTGGTGACAGTACCATTTCCTGAGGGAGTGGCCAGCTCACCTGTGCATCTCCAGGTGCAGCTTATTGCTTGCTGCTGCTAAAAAAGAAGCAAAAACCAGTATGGGGCTGAGAGATCATCAAGGGCAGTTAACCTTTTAGATCTGATTGCACATTCACAGAGCAGGGAACTCCTGTGAAGAAGAGCCAAGAGAAAAGCATCTGGCAGTGGAAAACAAATTGGCTCTGTGATGGGCTTTTGGAAGGACTGTTGATGTCAGCCAGGTGACAAGAGGTTGACATCTTCGAGCTGAAGTGAGAAAGAGACTAATGATAAGTGATGCTTAGTGGGAAATGTGCCAGAATAGGTCTTAAGCGTTTCTTTAAATCATGTGCTCATGTGGAGTTTGTCTTTTTTCCATAATCTACTTTTGTTGTTTTTGAGAATGTACGCAGAATGTACACCAATTCAACAATTTCAACATGTGCAGTTCAGATATTTGATTCCATTTTTCAAGTCATGCAGCCATTGTCACTACCTTTCTGAGCTCTTCTATCCGCCATTATTTTTAAAAAATCATCCTCTTTTAAGTTTTCCTATTTAATAATTCAAGTTGTTACCAGTTTTATGATTATAAAATATTTTATGTAAGGCACCCTGAAAAAAAAAAAATATTTTATGTGCCTTCAGGTCAAGCCCAACGTAGGATGACCCTATAGGACAGAATAGATCAGCCCCCTAGGCTGTAGTTGTTGGGGGAACAGATTGCCAGGCCCTTTCTGCCATAGAGAGCCAATGGTAGGTATGAACCACCGGCTTTTCTGCTGAGTTTTTAACAGCTGGTCAAGTGCCAAAAATTAAAATCAAACGCATTGCCCTGAGGTTGAAGTCCCACCATAGCAATGCTGTAGGGGCAGAGTATAACTGTTCCATAGGGTTTCCAGGGCTGCAGTCTTTATGGGAAAAGGCTGCCATGTCTTTTTTTTCTTTATAGGGGCTGATGAGGACTCCATAATGATCCCATATAAGTAGGTTTTTAAAAAGCCTAACCTTTAAGGGAGACATACTTTGCTAGTTAAGACAAGCTATTGTTTGTTTTTAAGATGGCTTCAGGGGATACTTTTGGCTTAAGGTTTAAAGATTCCCCCCCCTCCCAGAATAATAGTTTCAGAATTCTAGAAAGTCTGGATACCATGAAAATTTGTTATTTTCTTTACATAGAATTTGATCTGTGTAAGTAATTGCTTTAAAGACTTTTCTGTTGGTTAAAAGCACTCCCCAATATCTTGAAACCCTGTTTTTCTTTGTTGTTTTTGAGGTGTACGTCTGAAAATCACACCTGCTGCCATTGTGTCAGTTCTGGCTCACGGTGACCCCATTTGTTACATAGTAGAACTTCTCTATGGAGTTTTCTTGGTTCTCACAGGAGGAGCCCTTTAGTAGATAAAATTCTGGACTATTAGTTGGAAGGTCATCAGTTCAGACTCATATGACAGCTGAAAAGTAAAGCCTGCTGGTCTGCTTTTGAAAAGCCACAGCTTTGGAAATTCTGTGGAACAGCTCTACTCCGGGCACATGGGACGCAGTTGGGATTCACTCGGCACAGCTCAAAAACAAAAGTGTGTCTCTTGGGCAGTTTGGATCACCTGCCTTTACATTTATAGCCATTTGCAAGCCATTTGTGACATCCAGTGACCAATATGCACATATATGATACTGTCTGTACATTCACACATTTTTTGAAAGCAAGAACATGAAAATACTTTCAGCCATAATCAAGAATCCTCAGCAAAGAGAGAGGACGAAATAGATGAATGGGCCCTTTAAAAGTCAAATTCTTGCGTGCATCAAGAAACTTCGCCAACAGTAAAAATGAAGCCTACAGTCTGGCAAAAACCACCCAATCTTGTTAATGACATCCCTGATAGAAGACTCATATCCAAAATCTATAGGATATTCTAGCACCTCAAAATGAAGATGATAACCAACCCAATTGCCAAATAGAAGATTTCATGAAGATCCTCATCACCAAACAGGATATTCAGATGGGCAACAACCACATGGAGAGGTATTTGAGATTGCTAGCTATTAGAGGGATGCAAATAAAAACTGCAGTCTCAACTTAGCAACAGTGGCTAAGTGTTGGTGATGATAATAAGTGTTGGTGACGATGCAGAGGTTGGAACCTGCATACGTTGCTTGTGGGAGTGTAGAGCGGTACAGGCAGTTTGATGCTTCCTCAGAAGACTGAAAATAGAAATTTTATTTGATCCAACTATCCTATTATTAAGACTCTGTCCTCCCCTAAAACCAGAGATAAAACTATATTTACACTCATGTTTATTGCACCAGTATTCACTCTAGCAAAGGGATGGAAGCAGCCCAAGTGTCTAACAACAAATCAATGGATTGAGAACCTATGGTAAATCCACACAATGGAATATTATGCATTATTCAGCAACAGTGGAGATCTTGAGAAACAATATATAACATGGATGAGTCTAAAGAACATTATGCTGAGTGAATTACTCACAAAGAGACAAAATATAAGACCACTGTTATAAAATTAAGAGAATTATGGATTAGGCCTGTGTTACTAATACTGTGTCAGCTGTCAACAACAGCCAAATGCAGTGGGGAAAAGATCATTCAGATGTGCCATTTTGTCATTTTTCAAGTGAAGGCTAAAAACGGACTTTTTTTGAATTGTTAACTCTCTCAATATATTCTTTTCTGATTTTCCTTTCAGAATAATAATTTCACTGTTGCTTTAAAGATAGGCATCTGCATTTCTGTATGTACAGATTTATATAATTTTTAAGGACCAACACAGGGTAAAGAGGAAAACATTTTAAAACAGATAAATTGTGTTTCTGTTTAAATGTGTAATTCAAAAGTTAATAATTTTACTTAAAGCTGAAGCTTTGATTAAATAAATGGACCTGATCTGTAATCAAAACACAGAAGGCTTTCAGTTCCCTCCTTTCAAAGAATTGCCCTGGAGCTCTTTATATTGCAGATGATATTCTTTTAAAGGCCCCTTGACAAGAACATTATTTATTTTAATAAAAGACAGCTGTCATTTGCCTGATTAATACAGAAAGTGAGTAATGACACCAAAGTGAAAAATTAATCCTCAAAAATCATAGCCATTTGTTTATGCTTGTCTTCTATAAGAAAAATTAATTTTTTTCTTGTACAGATTCTTAAGATGGTATTCATACCTGTTTGTACAACTTGTATTAAGTATTTTAAATTAAAGTACTTTTGAAAATTCTCTTCAGATAACGCTTATCAGAAACATGTTTACTATTTAACACTCGTACCCTGTTATGTTAAGATAAAATATCTGTTAAAGATAATGTTGAGAGGGAGAAAAACTCCCCACATGATATCCCAGAGATTCATAGAACAAATTAATTGTCTAGTTTCCCATGAGAGACACTTTGGCTATAAGGAATATCATTAAGAACCAAGCCTGCCAACGGCCCTCTCATGTTTGCTTCATCTGTCTGAGTTGAGTCCCAGGAAAGCTGACTTTGAAATCGACTTTATTTCTTACAGTCCACTTTAGTCTAGGTGCTGAACATTGTGGTTTGGTCTCAGCTTTAGGGCTCAACCATGCCAGTCCCTCAGGCGGCGGTGGCCCTCAGTCTTGTTGTTTCTGGCTTTGTTTGTGGGTGATGATAGATACTTGCATTAGTACTAGAATGCGCTCAAGGGGATCCCCTGTAGCACATCTCTTTCTTGACGTTTTTCTCTGTTGTCTCAACACATTAAGTAGAAGAGCTGTTTGGAATAAAAAACTGGTTTCTACCACATGGAGTGAAAACATAGTTTTAGACAATTATTTTGTAGGCGAGCAAGTAAAGCTATGCTTTTTATTAAAGTTGGGAAAATGAAAAATATTTAAAATACGAAAGGAATCTCATTTGTTGCTCTATAGCATGTATATATAGTAGTGGCTTTTGATGGCATGCATTTGTTTCTAGCTATTTAGCTCCTTAGTTTCTGCCTTTGTGCATGTGTTTCTGTCTTTTCAGTTGGAAAGGGTTCTGGTGTTATAGTCTTTGAGTTGGCAGTGCCAACACACAGAGGGCGGCAGCTCCTTTCAGAGGGTTGGAATTCACCAGCGTTCCTGGGAGAAAGATGGGCAGTCACCATCCATATAATTTACAACCTCTGAAAACCCTCTGGAGGGTCAGCTAGGAGCCTTTTCCAACTCCACAACAATGAGCAGTGATTGTTTTCAGTTTCTAGAAGGAAGTTGGGTTTAAATCATTTGTAAGATTTTAGCCATACTGCCTTTGACCAATTGATAATGTCAGAATTGGATGCTACTGTTGTTACAGTGAATTTGTGAGCTTAAACTGACCTTTGAACGAAAATACAAGCAAACACTCTCTGGTTGGTAATTGTTTTACAGATGAGAACTGGGATGAAGACCAACTGCTTGGTTTTGAACCATGCAATGAAAATCTTATCTCTGGCTGCAATATAATCAATGGGAAATGTGAATGTGACAGCATTCGATCCTGCAATAATCCGTTTGAGTTTCCAAAGAAGGATATGTGCCTTTCAGCTCTAAAGAGGATTGAAGGTGAGCATGAATTTCAGCTAACCCTTTCTGTGAACCTTAGCATTTTTACCTCTGAGTAGTGATAATGTAGAGCTTAAAAAGGCTAGTACAAGCAAGATAGAGATTGGCAACTTTCATAATGCTAAATAAATAAGTCTTATACAATGCACCAGGTACTGATGTAGCAGTGATGTGTGAGACTGTCCTTTCCTATAAGCCATGGGATAGTAATGCTGTAGTCATGTGTGCAGGACAGTGACTGCCAGATCACCCCGGTTACCTCTCTGGTGGATGATTTTGTGAACAGCATTCTTGAGCTCAGCGTCTGTTGACACCAGGCCCATTCCACTCGATTTGCCAGGGGGTGTTGCTCCATGAGGAGAGTCTGCTAATTAGAAATGCTGCTTCTCTGGCAAGAAAAAGCATTATCTGTAGAAAAGATGGGAGAATTATGTAGTGATGATTGAAAGTTTAAACACGTTGGTTCTGCCAGCAGGCAAAAATGACATTGCCATAGATGTCTCATTGGCCACTTCACCTCTGGAAAGAAGTCAGAAATTTATTTTAAAGCCACGAGAAAATTCTACTATAATGTCCATAAAGTTTTGTACATTCATGCATAAATCCTAGGGGACAAAAGATTGAGTACTTGAAAATGATTAGTTATATAACTCCAGTAATCATAAATGGAGTAACACAGAGCTTGATGTAGAGCCTCACAACTAAAATTAACCTAGCGGTAAGTCCTAGAGTTTGGTCTTAGCTCTGTTCTGACCAGCCCCAGCTTCCTCTAGGGAATAAAAGAGCTTAAGAAGACATTCTTGCATATATTTTTTATCTTTGAAATCATGCTATTCCAAAAGAGAGCTTGGTAATTTAATTTGAACACTAAGGATTTGTGAGATTTAAAATCAGTAACATAAAGATTGCTAGTAGGACAGGACTGCTGTTTCTGAATTGCGTGATTTCTAAGTTACTTTAAACAATAATAAAAATAAGACATTTTAAATAATCCCTAGAACAGCATTTCTCTATAATGCTGTTTCAGTGCAGCTGAAACCTCAAAAGAGATTATGGAAGGAAGTAATAAAGAAAAAAATTGAGAACCATGTAAGATTTCATCTTGAGTGTGAACTCATGACCCACAGAATTTATTAGTAACATCCTAACCTAATGATTATAATTGTGTGACTTTTGACAGTGCAGTCAGATACTGCACTCATTTTTATTGTCTCATGACCCCTTTATTCACTCATCTTCCCCACCCATATCACCACCAAGAACTGATGTTTTGCCACCTGGACTAATGGTAAGGAGTTTTCAATGCCCACCTGAAGGCATACAGTTGAAATCCTCTAGCTGCTCCAGGGGAGACAGATGCACTATCTCTTCCTGTGTGGTTTATTACCTCTGAAAACCACCTGGAGTGTGGTCCCTTCCAACTTGCTGAATCACTTGTTGAGTCACTTCCAACTTGTTGGCACATGACAACAACAAGTGTATTTAGAGGTAATGATGAAGTACTCACATATCTGTGTAAATATTTAGTAATTTCATTATATGAAACACCACAGCCATTTAGAAGTACTTCTTTTTACACAGTGATGAAACTGTTTTATTCATGTGCTTTCAGATGCATCACTCATTCTTTCATTTTCTTCACTTAGGCCACTTTTCAAGTCATTAAATCTGACTTATGGAACACACCCTATTCACTACCTATCTAACTTGTGTGAGCTGCAGTGGATTTGTAATCTATGTTTGATGCTGTCGCAGGAAATTTTTTTCTGAAACACAATACCTGTTTACATAAAATCAGAGCATTTGAATTTGTTAAATAGATATACATTCAGGACATTGATTATATTGGTTTTTAAAGTGATTCTTGAAAGACTGTGAGACCAGGCACTTCAAATTTTGAGGTATTCTGAGAGGAATTATTTCTCTCTCTCTCTCTCTCTCTCTCTCTCTATATATATATATATATATATATATATATAATATTACATTTCTTGAACTCTTAATAAAAGTTTATTCATTTTGATAGTCTTTGTATAAACCAGAGTAGGACTAATTGAGATCACATCAAGTTAATGTGTCTTCTATACATGTGTCTTTATTGTTTGAAATAAAATAACTTAGACTACAGCAATTTTTTTGAAGAGTATCAAAGAATTTTCTCTTGTCAAGAAATAATTTTTAGAGAGGAAAAACTTTACATTCCTCGTGGCACAGTATTGTTAAAGAATTAGGTCATAAATAATAAGCAGAGTTGGAATGCTGTAAGAATGCAGGACCAGAAAAACGTGACCTAGGATTGTATGGTAAGGAGAGGTCTGAACCATTTGGACTGGGGAAACAAAAGCCAATGAGCTGGACTCCAAGAATGACAACATGGACAAATGAATAAAAGCTAGAAATAAAAATTCATGTTACTAACACATAAGATATTTGAGGAAGTAGTCTGAGTAAAACAGAATTCAGTGTTTACAGATAATAGGAAAAAATTACGGAAGCAGGATGGTGCTAAATTATGAAATGTCTTAAACATTATACAGAGCGATAAAACTTAGTAATGTGAGCTATCAGAAATCGTTGTTGGTTTATAAATAGGAAGAAGTGGACCATGGTCTTTAGAAGACTGGTGGGTAGAAGGGGAGGAGAGATGAGAATGGTCTAGCAGAGGGGAGTTATGCTGCAGTCAAAGGGGCTCTTTGGATGGTTGCTTCAATTAGTTAAACTTGACTAGGGTTCTGTCAGTAGAAACAACAAGGAAGAGATGGATATATTTCATTTTGAAGGAAGAGCCTGGAGTATCTTCTGAGGTAAAACTAAGAAGGAGGGGGTCCCAAATAAGCCCTCACTGCAGTTGAGTTGGAACCTCTTAGAGTTGATCCTCCATTTGGTTTCGGAGGCTGTGTGTTCAATGGAGGAGATTGCCTGTCTTTCTCCTGAAGAAGTGCCATTGGATTCCACCTTCAGAAGGGTACACACAGCCTTTGGGTTAACAGCACAACTCACTACAGTCTATGCCACCAGAGCTCCCAAATATCTAGAGGAAGGATGAGGAGAGTCAAAAGTTGAGTCTAGGCTTTCTAACCAGAAACAGCTTAATGATAATGCGAGTAGTAGAATTGCCGGGGGGCTGGGGGTGGGGTGGGGGGGTGATCGCTGAAAAAGGGAAAGGTATTTGGGTTGTAGTGTCAGATGAGGCTTTTAAAAAATTATGGGATATATTACAGCACATACTAATGATACATTATAGCTGGAGAAGCTGATAAATCAAAGGGGGATAATTACAGGAGCAAAGACTGTAGGGAATGAGAAGAGCAAAATTGTTTCTGTTTTTCGCCAAGTATAAACAATGCTATCAATGGAAATTGAGGTGGAAGAAGGGATGTGGGAATTTGAAAAGAAAGGGGAAACAAAAAAAAAATACACAAGTCAAAAGAAGGAAGAGAGAATTAACTAGTAAAATGACTAGGGCTACCGACTAGTGCTGACAACTCACTTGAAGCGAGAAATTTAAAGAAGACCAGTGAGCACAGTTGTGTATTTTTTCCCTAGCTCTGCTGCAGGTGTGGCATAGTTGGGGAGGTGGATTTAACTAGGGTTGAGATTTTTCCTGGCAAGTGTGGTAAAAAGAGGTACAAAAGGGAGGTGAGGATTATGTCAAAGCTAATCTATGGTGATGGATCTTATAACCTGTACTGGGAAGAAGACAAGTGACGTAGCCAGTTTCAGTGGAGGGGAGGCCCTGATGGACTTGAAAAATTGCTAGAAAAGGGGATATCTGAGGAAGTGAGCGGGAATTTTGAGAGTTTGCACTTGAGGCCAGTATTTCAGAGCTGGAGTTGTCATTGGTTAGAATAAGGGTATAACCTTTGTTGTGGTTGTGTGAGGAGGGATGAAAGGCAAAATCTTGGCATTGGAGATGTCAGACACTGAGCTCAAGTGGATTATCTACTCTTGGCACCAGCAGTCAGGAAATCAAAAAGCGTATCGCGATGGGAAAGTCTGCTGTTAGGGACCTCTCTAAAGTACTCAGGAACAACAGTATCTCTCTGGAGACTAAGGTGCGCCTGATACAGGCCATGGTATTTGCAATCGCTTGCTATGCATCAGAGAGTTGGACAATGACTAGGGAGGACAGAAGGAGAGTGGATGCTTTTGAGCTGTGGTGCTGGAGAAGGGTACTGAATGTACCCTGGACTGCCAGGAAAACAAACAGATTCATCTTAGAGAGGATTAAACCAAGCTACTCCTTGGAGGCAAGGATTCTCGGGCTTCATCTGACATACTTTGGATATGTTGCCAGGAGGGACGGGTCCTTGGAGAGGGACATCATGCTTGGGAGGGTGGAGGGACAGCGCAGGAGGGGAAGACCCTCTATGAGATGGATTGATTCGGTGACTGGGGTAATCGGGATGGGTGTGTCAGAGGCGGTGCGGTTGGCGCAGGATAGAGCAGGGTTTAGGGCTGTTGTGCATAGGGTCGCTATGAGTTGAAATCGACTCGACGGCACATAACAACAACAACAACAACAACAATGGATTTTCTAAGAATGATGATAGGAATAGTTGTAGGAAAGAGACATTGATCTAGAAATTCTTTTAGTTGGTTATTGAAGAATGTTGTAGTGTTTTCAAAAGAGAAAGAAATGCTCTGAAGGTAGCAGTGAGAGCAGAGAGGACACCTGCCCCCGCCCCCAACATTTACGCAGGTGGAGGCTGTAGTGGCTCAGTGGTAAGGTCTTGAACTGCCAGCTCAGAGGCTCTGTGGGAGAAGGATGGACAGTCTCCTCCTGTGCTATTTACTGCCTGTGAAAACCCATGGAGGGTTAGCTGTGAGTCACTTCTGACATAATGGTATAGATATGGTATTCCTGCTTGAGAGCTTCAAGATTAAAGAACAACAGGGTACCCAAGTTCTAGTTGAAGCATACATGTGAAAGGAAACTCCAGAGGGTAGAATGAAGGTTGGGAGGTGGGTTTTACTGATGGCTGAGCATGAGTTCCAAA